TACTGATGGCCTTTGGCGACCTTTTTGACACCCCTCTTGTGCCCCCCCCCAAAGGTCCTGACTTTCACTGATGTGGCTCCATGCCGTGGAATCCTGGGAGTTGTGGTTTGGTGAGGCAATGGTGTAACCGCATCAAGCAAACTTTGCTCTCCCCAAAAAATCCCATCATCTTACGATCGTCATGAGCCTGAAATGACTCAAAGCCCTTGGTTTAAATTTTGATGACTCTGCTCTCCATCAATTAAATAAGGTTACTATTAACTTTTGCATAAAAGGGGGAATAATCTGCCTCCACAAGACTGGCTTTAATATAACTTTCTTTTCTTTGAAGGGAACAGGGAATCCAAGTCACATGTAGTCTGAGTCATATTAGTTGCAGGAGGTCGTAATAGCAAAAGTCTGCAAAGATTCATAATTAAGAGTCATTTCCTAGGATTGTTTTATTACTAAGGGAGGTTTCTGATGAAGCTGTTTTGCACACATGCATATATACATATATGCACACCCACACACTACAATTCCCGAAAGAAGGGATTACTCTGCAGTCTCAATAAATCTCTGGTTCCATTTCGAAGCTGCATATTTCTCTCTGAAATGAGAATCAATAAAGGTGAAACACAAAGCTATCTGCACTATATCGTTTGGCTCTGTGCAACCAAATCCAGGGAATTTGGTTACACAGACACTGCTAAACCTGGAGTGTTTGGAGAATGTTGTACGGTGGTGAGATCCAGTGAGAGCCGTTCAGCAGTGGAACTCTCTGCCCCGGAGTGTGGTGGAGGCTCCTTCTTTGGAAGCTTTTAAACAGAGGCTGGATGTCCATCTGTCAGGGGTGATTTGAATGCAATATTCCTGCTTCTTGGCAGAATGGGGTTGGACTGGATGGCCCAGGAGGTCTCTTCCAACTCTTTGATTCTATGACTGTTAAATTTTCTAAGCTTCCAAAGACTTTGTATAGGGAAATCCATAGGGCCTCTCAGCCGAGGCACCCTGGGCGTCCCACTGGGCATAAGGAGGCCGCGTCCTGTTAATAGATAATTGCTACAAGCCCTGACTGTGAGAGCTGTTCAGCAGTGGAACTCTCTGCCCTGAAGCGTGGTGGAGGCTCCTTCTTTGGAAGCTTTTAAACAGAGGCTGGATGGCCATCTGTCAGGGGTGATTTGAATGCAATATTCCTGCTTCTTGGCAGGGGGTTGGACTGGATGGCCCATGAGGGTCTCTTCCAACTCTTTGATTCTATGATTCTATGATTGTAGTTTGGGTATTCTATAAGCTTGTCTGATACACTAAAAATGTAAAATACGAGGGTTGAATGAAAAGTAATGCCTCCACCTTTGTTACTTGGGTTTGGATGGGAATATTTTAATAAATCAAACACAGAAATAATCCTTAAGAGTGTGCTCTTTAACTACCACTATTCACTTTTCCACATAACCACCAGACAATTGGATATATTTCTGCCTACAATGAACAAGTTTTCTGAAGCTGTCACGGAAGATGTCGACACTCTGTTTCCACTACCAGCGTCTCACAGTTCTCTCAACATCTTCGTCAGAAGCATAATGATGCCTCCGCAGATCTTTCATTATCAGGAACAGATGGAGCCCCGGGTGGCGCAGTGGGTTAAACCCCTGTGTGGGCAGGACTGAAGACCGACAGGTCGCAGGTTTGAATCCGGGGAGAGGCGGATGAGCTCCCTCTATCAGCTCCAGCTCCTCATACGGGGACATGACAGAAGCCTCCCACAGGATGATAAAAGCATCAAATCATCTGGGCGTCCCCTGGGCAACGTCCTTGCAGATGGCCAATTCTCTCACAGCAGAAGCGACTTGCAGTTTCTCAAGTCGCTCCTGACACGACAAAAAAAATCGAGAACAGATGGAAGTCAGACGGTGCTAAATCTGGACTGCATGGAGAACATCAGTGGTGAGATCCAGTCTCTGAAGTTTCAAGTCTGTGTGCTTTCATTTCAGGCGTCAGCATCCTGGGTACCCATCGTGCACACATCTTTCAACAGCCAAGCAAAGCAATAATGTGACCCGCACGTTCTTGTGAAATGCCAATTATGCTTGAAATTTCTCTCTGAGTAATACAACGATCGTCCTGAATCAATCTGTCAACCTTTTGCTTGTGAAACTCAGTGGTTGCTGTCACAGGATGCTCAACTCTTTGTCATGCAAGTCAGATGTTCCCACCTCAACATCTTTAAACTTACTCTCCCAACGATACACAATACTCACATCAACACAATCACCATAAACAGCTTGCATTCTCTGATGAATCTTGTTTGGGGTGACATCTTCTGCTGTCAAGAATTCAATGACTGCACGTTGCTTAAGTCACATTGACCGACTGTCTGCGCAGTACTTCGCACTTTAACAAAACAACCATTCAATGTTAAGGCTTCCCACCAAAATGGAACTGTAGAGGAGAGTCTGCTGAACAAGCCAGTACCTGCCGCTTACCAGTACTGCCATCTGTTGAGGAGTTACAAAGGTGGAGGCATTACTTTTCATTCAACCCTCGGAAGATTGCCCTCTTAGGTTTAACTCTCAATAAAGACATGAGCCAAAGTCAGAGGATGGATCTACACCAGGCATGGGCAAACTTTGGCCCTCTCTACAGGTGTCCAACTCCCACAATTCCTAACAGCCTCAGGCCCTTTCCTTTCCCCCCTCAGCTGCTTAAGCCTGAGACTGTTAGGAATTGTGGGAGTTGGAGTCCATTCTGTAACTTTGGTCTTCATTGCAAGCTAGTTGTGGGAGTTGGAGTCCAAAACACCTGTAGAGAGGGCCAAAGTTTGACCATGCCTGATCTACTCTGTAGAATGAATGTAGTTTGACACCACTTCAGCTCCCATGGCTCAGTGCTATGGAAACATGGGAGTTGTAGTTTGGTGGGATAATGCTAAAGGCCTTGTAATACTACAACTCCCAGGATTCCAAAGCCATGAGGTGAGGTGAAAGTGTGTTCATTCTGCAGTTTAGATTGAAGCTACTGTCAGTAGAACCTCACTTTTCTATCAACCAAAATGTGTCCACGGTCAATTCTTTCATCTGCTTTGGACCAATGTTGGAAGAGGATTCTCAATACAATGCATGCAATCTGCTTTGCATGCCTCATCATCCTAAGTCTACTTATTATAATGAGGAAATAGTCTGGCTGGTAGATTTCTCTTTAATTGGAACAAGCAGATTTTTTTTCTACTGTTTGTAGTCTGTGCTTCCAAATTGCAATTCATACCATATGCTATTCTCTATACAGGTCTGCATCCTGTTTTCCGAGAAACTACAGCTGGATACCAGTCCTAAGAACTATTACTTCTTTATGACACCAATACAGTTGTTGCCAACCTTTTTTTTGACCAGGGACCATTTGACCCAGGATTCCTTGACCAGGAAATACATTGGCCAGGGACCACTTTGACAAAGGACCACTTGACCGGGCACCACTTTGACCAGAGACCACTTTGACTAGGGTCCACTTGACCCAGGACCTGGGACTACTTTGACCAGAGACTGATCAAGGACAACTTTGACCAAAGACCACTTTGATCAGGGACCACTTTGACCATGGACCACTTTGACCAGGGACCATTTTGACCAGGGACTACTTTGATCAGGGACCACTTTGACCAGGGATTACCAGTACTTTGACCAGGGACCACTTGACCAGGGACTATTTTGAGCAGAGACCACTTGACCAGCGACTACTTTGACCAGGACCACTTTGACCAGGGACTACCAGTACTTTGACCAGGGACCACTTGCCCAGGGACCACTTGACCAAGAACCACTTTGACCAGGGACTACCAGTACTTTGATCAGGGACCACTTTACCAGGGACTACTTTGAGCAGAGACCACCTGACCAGTGACTACTTTGACCAGGACCACTTGACCAAGGACCGTTTTGACCAGGGACCACTTGACCAAGGACCATTTTGACCAGGGACACTTGACCAGGGTCTACTTTGATCAGAGACCACTTGACCAGTAACTACATCAACCAGGGACCACTTTGACCAGGGACCACTTTCACCAGGGATCACTTTGATTAGTGTCCACTTGACCCAGGACCAGGGACTACTCTGACCAGAGACTACTTTGATCAGGGACCACTTTGACCCGGGACTACTTTGACCAGAGACTACTTTGACCAGGGACCACTTTGACCAGAGACCACTTTGGCCAGGGACCACTTTCACCAGGGATCACTTTGATTAGTGTCCACTTGACCCAGGGCCAGGGACTACTTTGACCAGAGACTACTTTGACCAGGGACCACTTTGACCAGAGACCACTTTGACCCGGGACTGCTTTGACCAGAAACTACTTTGACCAGAGACCACTTTGACCAGGGACCACTTTCACCAGGGATCACTTTGATTAGTGTCCACTTGACCCAGGACCAGGGACTACTTTGACCAGAGACTACTTTGATCAGGGACCACTTTGACCCGAGACTACTATGACCAGGGACTACTTTGACCAGAGACTACTTTGATCAGGGGCCACTTTGCCCAGGGATTACTGGTACTTTGACCAGAGACAACTTGACCAGGGACTACTTTGAGTAGAGGCCACTTGACCAGCAACTACTTTGACCAGGACCACTTTGACCAGGGACTACCAGTACTTTGACAAGGGACCACTTGCCCAGGGACCACTTGACCAAGAACCACTTTGACCAGGGACTACCAGTACTTTGACCAGGAACCACTTTACCAGGGACTACTTTGAGAAGAGACCACCTGACCAGTGATTACTTTGACCAGAACCACTTTGACCAGGGACTACTTTGACCAGGACCACGTTGACCAGGACCACTTTGACCGGGGACCACTTTGACCAGGGACTACTTTGAGCAAAGAGCACTTTGACCAGGAACTACTTTGACCAGGGACCACTTGATCCCAAAGTTGCATTTTGTGAACAGATAGGAGCTGTCCAAGCCCATCATGCTTTGAATCAAAATTTTGCATCACAAGACAAACCAAAGGTAAGAAAATCTCTGTCATTTATTTCCACAATGTATGAATGCCTGGGTCATCCCCTTATAAAGCAATAAAAACCTTCAACTGTTCCGATTCAGAGGGATCGCCAGGAAAATGTGCAAAAGGTCCCATCAACCAAGGTGCTGATAGTTGATGCAGCCTATGAGGCATTTGAGGTATCTATATTTGGATTTAAGGCAGGCAGAAAAGAAAGGTGTGCTGAGCAATAGAAGTCCTGGCAGGATTGGGATCAAGCCCAAGATGAGTTTCTGCCATATCCGTTTCATCAGGAAGGTGAAGGCAGACCAGAATAAACAAGAATACACAAATATGGCATACGGGGCAACCATAGCATGATGTCTATGGACCTCAGGATCAAGGGGTGGCAGGAAGAGTGGTAAACAGACACAGAAAACAATCTGGTAGCCTAGGAGGACATTGCAAAAGGTGGAACAAACCATTTATGTACTTCTGACTTTGACAGGGACAGTCCTAATTAATTCTTTGCTGTCCCACTTTTTCACCTTCTTTTAAAGTGTCCCAGTTTCTCTCTCCTCTTTTGTCCTCAGGTTACTTTAGTTACTGCAAACACGAGGTCACCATTGCTAGTGGGGTTGGATATGCTTCAAAAATTCAACTAGCCCTAAAATGAGGTGCTGTCCTTGCACAGCATCAATCCCTTTATGCTGCCAATATCTGGACTTTGATGTGATCTCAAGATAAGGAATAATGGGGAACTGGGACTCACTGTAATCCTGGAAGAAGTTAGACCAATACATGGCTTTGTTGGGCAAAGGGGAGGTGGAAAAATCAGAGGCAACACTAAGAAAGGTATTCTGTAGCCAGTATCTGAAGTGCCCATCAGATGTTCTGGGAACAAATATATGTATGTGTCCTATTGGCAATGGTCTTATGGGAATTTGATTGTGTTTTTTGGAATGTAAGAGTGAATAATCCACCATTTTAATCCACCAAACCCAAGGGAGCTCTGGGTATGTAAACACTGTGGTTGATTCTTCTCAGTCTATCTCCATGAGCTTCAGAGGGAACTCTGAAGAACAGTCTTAGAGCAGTTTCCCACAAGCATGGTCATTCAGTGATGATTTGCTCATGAGAAGGATTTATCATGGATCCTGAACCTTAGATAGAAGTTTTGTATCACACAGTCGAATCTATCCCTAAACTGACATAAGTTGTCCAGTGGAGAGTGGTTGAGGAACATCAATGCGTCTTGGGCACTTGGAGAAGCAGTACACTTCCTATGCCTTATAGTGACGCCCAAATATGTGCCGACGATAGCAACAGAACACGGCTACTCCGATGACCACCAGTGATAAAAGGGCCACCGCTAGTAGAATCAGCACACTCATCTTCTTGCGGTCTTCTTTTTCACAGTCTTCTGGCCTGATATTGACCACATGCATTTCTTCTTCTTCATATCCAAAACTCTTGACATGTTGGCACTTGACTAGGTCTAAATTGGGGATCTCCACAGTGGCTTTGTGGATCATGTGGGAGAGCCAGATGTTTCCGCAGCAACTGAGCGGGTTTCCAGCTAAGTACAGATTCCGTAGATTTTTCTCCAAAGCTGGGATCTTGCTACTTTTCAGATTGCTGAAGCTGTTGTATTGCAGGTCCAGAACTTCCAAAGCACAGCAGCCCTCAGTCCAAGGAAACAGCCAGCTGAGCTGATTGTCGGAAAGATTGAGATATTTCAAGTTAGGGAAAAGGGGGAAATTGAGATTCAGAGTTGTCATGCCATTCCCATGTAAATCCAAGTATTCAAGAGAGAGTTCCAAGCCAGACAATGATTTGGCATCTATGTGAAGCCCCCAGTTCCTAGAGAGGTCCAAAGCTACAAGTTGAGTCCTGTAGAAACCATACACTGGGATGGTCTTCAACTTGTTGTCTGACAGATATAAATGCTGAAGCTCAGGAACATCAACAAAGGAGACACAGCCATCTTCTTCAGCTGCAGGTCTTTGTCTGGCTAATCTTGATTGGAAGCTACAAAGACTCAAATTGTTGCTCCGGAGGTTAAGCAGCCAGAGGCGAGGAAGGCCTGTAAAGATGTCCGATCGTAGTGCTTGGAGATTGTTTTCCTGAAGGTAGAACTCTTGTAAGTTTCCCAAGGTGTTGACGTCCACCTCTAGATCTTGTAAAGAGTTAGAACTTATGTCAAGAATGGCCAGTGAAACCAGCTCAGAACTTGCCACAAAAGTCTGAAGGCAATTTTTGCTAAGGTTCAGAAACTGAAGCTTAGACATGGAAGTGAAGAAGTCACTTGGGATGGACTTGATCTCGTTGTAACTCAGGTCCAAATGTAACAACTCAGGCAAGTGTGGAGAGCTCGCATTGCTTTTTTGATCCTGACCCAAGAGAGGAAGAGATGGGTCTTCCCAATTGTAGTCCTCATCCTCGCTAAGGGATTCCACCATAACAGACTGGAGAATATTCTTTGTTAGATTCAGATAGGCCAGCTTGTTGACCTGGGGGAGAACCGGGAAGCGGAGCAATTTGTTCTCACTCAAGTCCAACCAAATCAGATTGAATTCATCCATGGATTCAATGGAATGGAAGATCTCGATACTATTCCGGCTGAGATCAAGAATCTGCAACTGCTTCAAGTCGAAACCAGCGATGCAGGTGAGCGAGTTCATAGAGAGGTTGAGTTTGGAGAGTTGCGATAAACTCTCGAAGGCTCCCTCTTCTATCTCCATGATCATATTACTGTGAAGGTTCACCTCGATCAGCGAGGGAGAGCCCTGGAATGTCTTTTGGGAAATTTCGATAATGCTGTTCTCTGCCAGGGAAAGGTACTGAAGGGACGGTGCTTTGTGAAGGAAGTGTTCGGCCATCCCATTATAGAGCCTGTTGCAAGACAGATCTAATGTCCTGACGTGGGGCAGGAGTCCAAACGACAGGTTGCTCTGAGCCATGCGATAGAGTTGGTTGTTGGCCAAATGGATCTCCTCCAAACTTCTCAGGCTGGCAAAGATCCCCGGCTTGATGAAGCCAATGTGGTTGGAGTTTAAATCCAAATGTCGGAGAGAAGTGTAAAAAGTCAGGGGACGCTCTGTGATGTTCTGAAGCTGGTTCTCAGAAAGGACAATTTTGTTTACATTTTGATGAAGCGCCAGAGGGATCTGATCTAGATTCCTGCCGTTGCAAAAGGCATCCATGTTTCTCTGCAGGGAAACAAAGGAAAGAGAGAATGAACATCAGCAATACCTGGAACATGTATGTTGCAGGCAAATTAAATCAACAATAGGATCTAAATAATTAAAAACCTATTAAGATAGACATTTTCAAAGAATAAAGAACAAGGCTTTCATGGTCGGAATCACTGGGTTGATTTTAGGTTTTTTGGGTTGTATGGCCGTGTCCTAGAAGCATTCTCTCCTGGCGTTTCACCTGCATCTGTGGCAACATCCTCACAGCCTCTGAGGATGCTTGCCATAGATGCAGGCGAAAGGTCAGGAGAGAATGCTTCTAGAACATGGCCATACAACAAAAAAACCCACAACAACCCAATAAAGGGCAACTTCATTAAATGTATTTTTATTGATTGACTTCACTTAAAAGGCAAAAGCTGCACATCGCAAGTGTTGAACTTGACTTCAGCACATAGAAGATGGCTTTGAAAGGCAGCAGATCACAGGAGCTGTCTTCATAGACCTGTCAGCAGCCTATGATACTGTGAACCACCGCCTCCTCCTGAGAAAAATGTATAATATCACAAAAGACGACCACCTCACCCGCCTCATAGGAAACCTGCTACAAAACAGGAGCTTTTTTGTTGAGTTCCAAGGCCAGAGAAGTAGATGGTGAAAACAGAAGAATGGCCTGCCTCAGGGGAGCGTGCTTGCTCCATCCATGTTCAACATCTACACAAATGACCAGCCACTGCCAGAAGGGACAGAGAGCTTCATCTATGCTGATGATCGTGCCATTACTGCTCAAGCAGGGAGCTTTGAGATGGTAGAACTGAAGCTCTCCGAAGCTCTAGGTGCTCTTACTGCCTATTACAGGGAAAACCAGCTGATCCCCAACCCATCTAAAACACAGACATGTGCCTTTCATCTCAAGAACAGATAAGCATCCCGAGCTCCGAGGATTACCTGGGAAGGAATCCCACTGGAGCATTGCAACGCACCCAAATACCTGGGAGTCACTCTGGACCATGCTCTTACCTACAAGAAGCACTGCCTGAACATCAAGCAAAAAGTGGGTGCTAGAAACAATATCATACGAAAGCTGACTGGCACAACCTGGGTATCACAACCAGACACAGTGAAGACATCTGCCCTTGCGCTATGCTACTCTGCTGCTGAGTACGCAAATAACAGGACAACAGTTTACTTTACAGGATAATTGCTGCTTATTTTCTTATTTGAAGACAAAAATGAGAATACCCAATTGAAATGTTGGTATACTTCTGGTATGTACTACAAGGAGATAGTCAAATGATGGGAATGATAGATATTTGAACATTATGGAACGGGTTTGACAGAATCTGGGACATAGTTTTATCTGAGAAACCAACATACAAAATGAGATGTGGCAGTTTTATTTAGCTTAGCGGTTCCCAACCTGTGGTCTGTGGATCACCAGTGGTCCACAAGAATGAAAATATGGTCACCATTACTACACCGTTGACTCAAAACTATGCGACAATGAGAGTGACTGGTCTTATGAAACATAGTACCGAGGAAACAGGGATGCCAGGAGGGGGGAGGTGGACTATGCACAAAATATTATGACTCCAATATCAGCTCTAGACTATTTTCTATGGACGAGCAGGTGGAGATTACTTGATGTCCATACGTTCTGTATCAGAAACTAGAGCTGATGTGGTCTATCCATTTGAATTATCTGAATCATCACCCCAGATAACCAAACTGAATCTAAAGTTGACCAAAAACTGTTTCGTAACGCTTTTTGCACTAATGTTGGAGAGTGGTCCCTGGTCAAAATGGTTCCTGGTCAAGGTGGTCCCTGGTCAAGGTGGTCCGTGACCTAAGTGCTCCCTGGTCATGGTGCTCCCTACCAAGGTGGTCCCTGGTCAAGGTGGTCTCTGGTCAAAGTTCTCCCTGGCCATGGTGGTTCCTGGTCAAAGTTCTCCCTGGTCATGGTGATCCCTGGTCAAAGTTCTCCCTGGCCATGGTGGACCCTGGTCAAAGTTCTCCCTGGACATGGTGGTCCCTGGCCAAGGTGGCCCCTGGTCAAGGTGGTCTCTGGTCAAAGTTCTCCCTGGCCATGGTGATCCCTGGACAAAGTTCTCCCTGGCCATGGTGATCCCTGGTCAAAGTTCTCCCTGGCCATGGTGATCCCTGGTCAAAGTTCTCCCTGGACATGGTGGTCCCTGGTCAAAGTTCTCCCTGACCATGGTATCCCTGGTCAAAGTTCTCCCTGGCCATGGTGATCCCTGGTCAAAGTTCTCCCTGGCCATGGTGGTCCCTTTTCAAAGTTTTCCCTGGCCATGGTGGCCCCTGGTCAAAGTTCTCCCTGGCCATGGTGGTCCCTGGTCAAGGTGGCCTCTGGCCATGGTGGTCCCTGGCCATGGTGGTCCTACTGGCTGTTAGGAATTGTGGGAGTTGAAGTCCAAAACACCTGGAGGGCCAAAGTTTGCTCATGCCTGGTATAAGGTATACAGGCAGTCCTCGAGTTATAAACATCTGACTTACAAACTACTCTTAGTTAAGAACAGGAAAGTGACAAAGTGAGAGAAGTCTACTCCTAGGAAGGGAAATTCCCTCCTGGAAGAGTAATTATCATGGAGAAAAGGGTTCTCTACTGAAGCTCTCTCATCAATCCTTGTTTCCAAATTTTTCAAAGGGATTCCAAAATCTAAAGCACTTCTGGTCCCAATTATTTTGGACAAGGGATGCTCAACTTGTATTGGATATCATACTATATGGACTCCTTATTCTCTCATTGTTGTCCTTCTTTTTAGCGGCTCTTATTAATCCTGTGTGGATCATAATAAATTGTGGCAAGTTCTTGGTGGGGTGGGCATCCCAAGCCCCCTTTCCTCTCTCCTGAGGAATCTGTACAAGGACCAAGTAGCAACAGTCAGAACTGACCACGGAACAACAGACTGGTTCAAGATTGGGAAAGGCGTACGGCAAGGCTGCATACTCTCACCCAACCTTTTTAGCTTGTATGCAGAACACATCATGCAAGGATGTGCGGGGCTTAATGAATGTAAAGCTGGGGTGAAAATTGCTGGAAGAAACATGAACAAGAAACCTGGAACCCCAGGTTTCAGTGGTGACCAGGGGAGCATTCGCACAATTAAAACTTGTGCGCCAACTGCGACCGTACCTTGGGAAGTCTGACTTGGCCACGGTAGTCCACGCTCTGGTTACATCCCGTCTTGACTACTGCAACGCTCTCTACGTGGGGTTGCCTTTGAAGACGGCTCGGAAGCTCCAATTAGTCCAACGGGCAGGCAGCCATGTTACTAACAGGAGCAGGGCGCAGGGAGCATACAACTCCTCTGCTGTACCAGCTCCATTGGCTGCCGATTTGCTACCGGGCCCAATTCAAAGTGCTGGCGCTGGCCTTTAAAGCCCTAAACGGTTCTGGCCCAACTTATCTATCCGAACGTATCTCGGCCTATCAGCCCACCAGGACCCTAAGATCTTCTGGGGAGGCCCTGCTCTCTATCCCGCCTGCTTCACAGGTGCGGCTGGCGGGGACGAGAGACAGGGCCTTTTCTGTGGTAGCCCCTCGGCTTTGGAACGCCCTCCCCATAGAGGTAAGATCAGCCCCCTCGCTGGTGGCGTTTTGAAAAAGACTGAAGACATGGATGTTCGAACAAGAATTCGGTTAACACGGTGCAACGAATCTGACGATCAAGGACTGGTAATCACAGACGATGAAATTGGACTGCGTTTTTAACTAAGAGATGCATTGGTTTGATATTGGTGGCCCAATATTGTATATTATGTATGTGTTTTTATGCTTTTTTTATGCTTTTTATCTTGAATATTGTTGATTATTGTAATGTTGTAAACCGCGTTGAGTCGCCAATGTAGGCTGAGAAACGGCGGTATACAAGCGCAGTAATAAATAAATAAATAAATAAATATAGATGACACCACTTGATGGCCGAAAGCGAGGAGGAGCTGAGGAGCCTTCTAATCAAGGTGAAAGAAGAAAGCGCAAAAGCTGGGTTGCAGCTAAACATCAAAAAAAAAAACCAAGATTATGGCAACAAGAATGATTGACAACTGGGAAATAGAGGGAGAATATGTGGAGGCCGTGATAGACTTTGTATTTCTAGGTGCAAAGATGACTGCAGATGCAGACTGTGGCCGGGAAATCAGAAGACGCTTCCTTCTTGGGAGGAGAGCAATGTCCAATCTCGATAAAATAGTCAAGAGTAGAGACATCACACTGGCAACAAAGATCCGCCTAGTCAAAGCCATGGTATTCCCCGTAGTAACTAACCTACGGATGTGAGAGCTGGACCTTAGGGAAGGCTGAGCGAAGGAAGAGAGATGCTTTTGAGCTGTGGTGTTGGAGGAAAGTTCTGAGAGTGCCTTGGACCACGAGAAGATCCAACCAGTCCATCCTCCATGAAATAAAGCCCGACTGCTCACTGGAGGGAAGGAGATGAGAGGCTAAGATGAAGTCTTTTGGCCACATCATGAGGAGACAGCAAAGCCTAGAGAAGGGAATGATGCTGGGGAATGTGGAAGGTAAAAGGAAGAGGGGCCGACCAAGGGCAAGATGGATGGATGGCATCCTTGAAGTGACTGGACTGACCTTGAAGGAGCTGGGGGTGGTGACGGCCGACAGGGAGCTCTGGCGTGGGCTGGTCCATGAGGTCACGAAGAGTCGGAGATGACTGAACGAATGAACAACAACATTAATCCTAAAAAATTCTCAGGCTGCACCGACTTCCATATCGCAAGTGGTGGTCCCTTTCCCGCTCCCCTTTCCTTCTGAGCTCTGTTTTGAACTCCTTCCCACTTCATCTGGGCCTCTCTGCTTCTGCTTATAAAACAAACATAAATTCCGATTTTTCCTCCACCCTGTTTGGCCCAAGGGCCACCATTTATTAAGGGTATTCCCATACGGGATACGGAAGAATGTAGAAGGAAAACAGGATGTATGGCACTCATAGAGACCCGAGATTTCACATGAGCAGCTGGAGAGAATGGGTCGGGGCTCTGCA